AATCAGGACAAGCACTTGCCCTATACTTGGAGCGCGTTTTTTTTTAAACAAAGAAAAACCCTTTAGGGCCCTAGCAAGGAAGAGAGAATGTGCTGTGATTTACTTATTGTGCTGTAAGTTGGATCAGGAGGTGCGCAAAAAGTTTGCTATAAGGGACGTAAATTTATGAGGAACAGTTTGTTAATCGGAGACCTGAGGTCTCCCGTAGATATCCGCCGGAAACCTAAATCACGAAAAGGTACGGCGATTTTTCCATTATTATAATAATTCAAAGACTTTTCAAACACTTTTTCTACTCCTTGTTGCGCATCTTTAAACCAATTTTGGTGGTCGTTTATTGCCTATTCGCTCAGAAAAACGGGTTTGAACGATTCCAAAAATGTTGTTCAAGCTTCCCGCGCAAACGCCCGCATTGAAACAACATGAACCTTGGCTGGGGCAGGTTTTCATACGGTCCAAAAGTGTGTATGGAATCACTCTGAATTAAGTATTGAGTAAGACGATACGAAATACTCAGGCCAGGAAGGGAGGGAGCTCCAACATTCTTATTGTGGAAAAAATGGTCATAGTTGAGATTGAACTGTAGGCTCCTCTCCGGGCCAAATACGATCTCCAATTTGTTTTTTCTACAAAAACGAATTCCAGCTTGCCCTCCGGAGACCTGCCGCAGAGGTCTGACTACATATTATACATGTAGACCCATTTTTTGTCAAAATCTCAATAAAATTTTTCGTTCCTATCATGACTCAGATTCCTTTTCCTTAAGGTGACAATAAGCTTTATCTGTTGATAAGACCTTTCTGAAGAGAAAACATGAGCAAGACTAGGTATGCTGTTAATATTTATTTTTGATGCTTACTAACGTAGAGAGGTTAGCATTCGTCGCGATTTTTTTTACCGCAATGACCACGTCTTTCGCCACTGTCTCTTTCAGGGCTGCTATCGTAACGTCTTCTGTGATGGCTTCTCCGACGTTTCTCGGTATAGAAGGGATTTGATAGGACTTGAGGATCGTAAGGAGGTACTAAGAAAGGATATGTTGGAATAGATTCAGGAGGGTATGGAATCGGAACAGGTTGAGGAGGGGGAGGAGGAGCAGAATGAGGTGGGTATGGAAGTGGAGGTGGAGGAGGGCATGGCAGAGAATCAGGTTGAGGACGGTATGGATGAGGATGAGGTGGAAGTGGCATAAGAGCTGGAAAGATCCTTTTAAAATAGTCGGCTAAAATGCTATAAATTACTTGCCTACACTTTTCCAATCAATAACAAGAAAAGCATCCAGTAAGATATGTTGTAAGAACTTACTGGGTAGTTCGTCTCTGGGAGGAGCTACACTGAAGATGTCAAGGAATGATCCATGGTGGCGCCCTGGTTCTACATTTGCAACAGGTTCGCTGTGATAAA